GTTGAGCCAAGTTGGGTTGGGTTGGGTGCGGGGCCGCAGGATTCGTGGATGCGCTGTGCCCTACCTGTCCCTCACAGAGCCTCCCCCACGGCCGGGACCTCACCTGGAAGAAGGTCATGGTGGAGCCGGCGTGGATGGTGCCGTACTCAATGTTGGTCTGGTCAGCCAAGTCATCGGCCGACTCGATGGGCACCTCCATCCGCTGCACGGTGAGGAAGGCCGCCAGGTTGGCCGTGTAGGAGGAGATGATGATGAGGGTGAAGGCCCACCTGGAGGAATAGCCCCGGGGGGGGTGTCGGTGGGCATTCTCCGAGGCCAGCCGCCTGGGGCCGCCCCGACGGACCCCCCCCAGGTCTCACCAGACCCCGCTGACGCAGCGGGTGGAGAGGGCGCGGGGCATGATCTCGGAGCCCTGCTGCATGAAGCCCCCCACGGGGAACCAGAGGCTGTTGCCCAAGGTGTACTGGTTCTCCAGGAGGTTGTGCCGCTCCCGCAGGCAGGGGTGGGGGTTGTACCACTCGTAGGGGCTCAGCCTGGGGGTGGGGGGGACACCATGAGGGACCCCCCCCCGGCCTCCACCCCCCTCCATGCCCCGGAGACCCCACAGGGTGTCTCAGGACCTCCCTGCACCCCCAAAGCCCATCGTTGACCCAACAGGGTGTCCCTGGAGTTCCTTGTACCCCCCAAACCCATCATCGACCCCACAAGGAGCTCCAGGACCTCCCTGAAGCCCCCAAACCCATCACTGACCCCCCCAGGACTTCTCCGCACCCCCAAACCCCATCGTTGACCCCACAGGGTGTCCCTGGAGCTCCCTGTACCCCCCCCCAAACCTACCACTGACCCCACGGGGTATCCCGGGACCTCCCTGCACCCCCTAACCCTGGATTTTGGGTACCCATGGTGGGGGGAGAATTGGGGGTGCCCCAGGGTCTGGTGGGGGTGGGTTTTTGGTGTCACCCAGGGTCTGGGGGGGGTTATTTTGGGGTGCCCTTGGGGTCTGGGGGCATTACCCCAAGGGTCTTGGGG